TGCATCTCTAGATCTGCTCCTCTGTCTCAGCTGCCCAGGAGTCAGCTTTCCCAAACTGGTGTTCAGACAGAGCAGGAAACCCATCTGCTGCCCCACCAAGCTGAGGTCTCCAGACACCCAAGGACTCTCTGAGACATATCTGCGCCACCAGAGCAGGAGCTCAGATGAAGCTGCGACAGACTCGGTGCTAAGACTCTGCATGCGGAGGTCCAGGACCAAGCCTGTGGTCACTGTTGGGACAATTTACAAAGCACCATGATGTCCACACTTGTCTGGGCCTTGCACAAACTCCGTGGTAAATGCCGTCACTTCCATGTCACATGTCAGGAAGCCCAGACTCCAGGAGTAGACGGGCTTGCCTGAGGCCCCAGGGCCAGGTGTGCAACTCCACTTTCTGACTCCACAGCTCCTTTGTCAGCCCCTGTGCTATGTATGACTGAGACTGTCCACAGGCCTTCCCAGACCTTGGCCTAGACCTAGGGCAGAGCAAGCAGGCAGCTCCAACTCAAAGAGCAGCCCGCCGTCCCAGCCCAGGGCTGGCCTCCCCTGCTCACATCGGCTCTGCCTCTGTGGGGAAAAGACCAAAGACTGGCCTGGTGACACATCCAGGGTTTTTCTACCTGCCGAAAAGGGGTTTACTCCCAGGCCCCTTCCTGCTTTAACCCCCACCCCATGCCCAGCTTCCCCTGCCTCCAGCCTGGCCGCGTAGGGTAAGAGTTGGCCCCCTTTGCTGGGAAGGAGACCAGGCACCATGAATGCCCATCTCCACTGCCCTACTGCCAGCTGCGTGGAGGCCCCGACCACACCTGCTCTCTGGCCTGGTCTGGCTCACTCATCCGTCGGGAGTCCCCCAACCTTGGGTCCAAATATTGGCTTCTCTAAGTCATGGAGAGACCTGAGACACAGGGCTGGCTTCACGGATGTGTGACCCATACACTTGCCCCAGGCCCTACTCTCAGAAGGGCCCCCAATTGGTTGAGTGTCTGGTTGCCTCTGTCTTGAAATCTTCAATATTTGAGCGAGGGCCCTTCATTTTTACTTTGCATGGGATGTCACAATGGGTAGTTGATCCTGCCTGGGCAAGTCCCTGAACTTCCCTGAGCCTCTGTTTCTCTGCCTGCAGAAGAAGCCAACTTCTGGGGCTGATGCGAGGCCAATAGATGAGAAGATCTTTGTCGGCTGTAGAGGACTGTGTCCTGGGGGGAGGGGGTTGTTCCCCTTTTCCCCCCAGGGGGAGAGGAGAGGCTCTGGAAAGACCCAGTAGCTCTTTGGGAGAGACTAGGGGGCTCTCGGAGTCCAGAAATAAAGTCTTCAGTTCCCTGGGACAGCACTCTGAGGGTTTGGCTTTGCCCTCTTCCCCCTCGCATCCCCGAAGGTCTGGCGCCTGGATTCCGGCCTCCCTTGGCGCACGTGCTCCTGGATGGGGTGCGGCCTCACAGGGCGGCAGCGGCAGCGGCACCCCATGTGCACCCCCATCCTGAGTGCCGAGACAGCACCACTGGACAGTGGTGGTGGTGGACAGACATCCACCATTTGGGGGATCCTGCAGTCAGAGGAGAGGACAGGCCGCCTGGTGGCTGCATCTGAGACAGTGGTGACCCAGTGCCAGGCGTGGGTGCCTCTAGTCTTGGGAAGCAGGGAGATGAGGCTGCTTTTGGAGGCCATCAGAGAGAGCGATCCAGGGGGAGGGTCCCAGGCTAATGGCCACCCAAGGCAAGGAGCTCCCTCAGCAGCTCCCAGCAGCCTCCGATTGGAAACTCCCAGGCACAAAGCTCCCAGTGTCACCCAGGCCGGTCCATCCTGTAACTGTAGACTTCACTCCCCGAACCTGACTTGAGCCCAAAAGACTGGGTAGACTTTGTCATCCTTCTTTCTGTGCATCTCACATCGTGCCGTGGACATCTGCTGTCCTCAGAAGGACACAGCCACCTACCCTGTGCTGTTGAGGGGATGCTAGGGGCCTGGCAGGAGCAGTGGCATGGGCAGCATAGAGAACAGGCTGGAGGCTGGTTGCTCGGTGCACTGCCCCCCCTCACCCAGCACAGGCCCTGGCCTCAGTAAGTATTGGCTTTTAGCGTTACTGCACAAGCCTGGAGGCATCGGCTACCCAGAGGGAGGCAGTGGCCGGGAAGACAGGGACCGTTGGCAAGGCTGTGAATGTCACAAAGGCAGACTCTGGTCGCCGGGCCCAGAACGGCAGCTGCTAAGGGCAGGGACTGGCATCAGATGCTAAAGAAGTACCAAGACCAGGCCTGGGGGCCCCAGGGGGCAGGCAGTGTGCTCAGAGGCCGGAGCGCTGGAACAGGAGCCGTCAGGGTGGAATGTGGAGAGCGGTGCCTGCCGGTGCTGTAGGGTCCGAAGCTGGGACTAGAGATTTCAGGCTGTCAGGTGGGTCGGAGTCGGACCCAGCAGGTCCCACCAGCTCTGCCACTTAACGCACAACTCTGGGCTGATTACTTGCCAGGGAGGTGGAAGGGGCGGGAGCTGCTGAGAGTCTGGGGGACTTGAGGCTTGGAGGGCTGCTCTGGGACCGGAGCAAGGGACCCGCCGTAACCGTGTGCTGTGGAGTGATGGTGTCAGCACCCAGAACAGCCCACAGGGCCTTCCCTGGGGGCCCCCTCGCCCCTCGCTCAGAACGTGAAGTTTAGGCCCCAGACGTTGTCTAGGGCAACACAGGAGATGAAACGTGTGGACCGTGCAGGGGAGAAGCTAGAGAGTGGATGACTCTCCACGCGGACCCCAGCCCCCTCCTGGCCTCCGCCTGCCCTGTGTGTGCTGAGTCCCATCAGTGCTGGAAGGCCAAGTTCTGAGTCCCCCCAGGACCCCAGGGATGTGAAGGGCCAACAGGAGCCCATTTGGCCAGGTCCATCTCTCAGGGACACAGCCGCACCCCACCTCCCCACAGAGAGGCCCAGTCGCCGTCACTGTCCCCGAGTAAGGTCATAGCTATGTTCCAGTCCCAGTTCTCCAGGGCCTGAGCCTTACTTCCCTGCCCCTGGAGAGCAGGCAGGTCCTCAGAGGGGCTCCCCACATGAAAGGCTGAAAAGGCATCTGGAGCCCGCCTTGGCTCTTTGATGTGGGGCTGGGAGGCGGGATTTCCTCTCTGGTTAGAAGCCCAGGAGGGGCAGCTGCCATTTGTGGAGCAGCTACTACATACATGCCAGGACCCAGACCAAGCGCTTCGAGCAGGGAACCCGTTTGATCCTCACCTCCGGCCCTGGAGGGAACGCTTGCTGTCCTCACCTGCCAGGTGCGGGTGCCGCGGTCCAGCCTGGGGGGTAGCCTACCTGGGTCGGTCCGTGAGCAACAGGGCAAAGCTCACACTCTGCCCTGCCCGCCTCCGCTGTCCCAGTAAATAGGCCGGTGGGGAGACGAGAGGGCCCGGGCAGGCCAGACTCCAGGCAGAGCCCAGCTCCCGCTAACAAAGGCCACCCTAGTACAGGGAAGGGTGGTGGCTTTCTTTCTGCACCTGGGGCCTGGGAAGCTCCTTGCAGAGGTGGTCTTTGAGCTGGGCCTAGTGACACCAGCCCATGAGAGACCTCCACGCCGCTGGGCCAGCGCACACACAGGCAGGTAAACTCACAGAACTGTGCACACCCAGCTGGGGGGTCTTAGATTCGTGGAGACACACAAAGAGGCCAGGAGGAGTCAGAGGCAGGGAGACTTGCCTTTCATAAGTAGTTGCAACTCATCCTATGATGGTGAAGACTTCAGCCTCGGGAAGAAGGGTCGGGGGCCCTCTGCCACCCCTAGCCCCTGTGTCCAGAACACTCAGGACGACACCTGCTATGCCCCACCCCCACCCCGCAGGATCACAGAGATGCAGATGTACACACAGAAGGGAAAGCCAGATTTTCCCCCTCCCTGCCCTGCCACCCAACCCCCGCACGCACACGCACACGCACACAAGTTGAAGTTCAAAGCAAAGGTATCATGAATTTGGTATAATGAGCAGCAGGGACTCCTGGCTACTGGGGTATGTATTCAGTGATCACTCCTCTGGGAATACAGATAGCCAAGAAGGACAGACAATAAACCAATTAGGGGGAACCTTCAGGGAAAAGGTCCACGGGGCCAGGTGCCCAGAGGAAGCCAACGTAGGCAGGCGAAGAGTTTTGGGTTTTAAAAGATGTGGCCTTGACTCCTTAGTTCCCAACAACGAAGAGAAGAGAGACGCCCATTCAGGCACAGTTCCCACAAGATCAAAGCACACAGCTGCTCGGGAAGAAACCCAGGTCGAAAGGCCCAGAGGCCCAGAAATGGGCTCCTCCGTGTGCGGGCCACCTGCACCCTGGTGACCCAGCTCTGCCAGTCCCTTCTCTAGGCCTGGGGAGGATCATTCTCACCACACGACGGGTTCGGTGACCTAGGCTCTGCCCCAGCCATTCCAGGCCCTTTGAATTTACAAGGGGAAAAAAAAACACTAGACAAGCTTCAAGTGGACAAAAACCAGACGCCTTTAGCTTACGGCTCAGTGAGAACAGATGTTGAGCTGAGTGTCTCATCAAGGTGATGGATGGTGTGCGGGCTCGGGGAACCCCCCCCCGGAAACTCCACAGCCAGGACCACAGGCCAGTCCATGCTGAGACCAGTTTGGGAGTCCCAGGGACTGCGAGTCTGGGTTTAGAATCCAAGTCCGGGCAGGACAAGGGTTTAAGAAGCTGGCCCTAGGCAGTTAGATACCAGCCACGTTGATCTCAGGAGCTCGGACCTGTTGGCAATGACCTTTACGCCAGCACAGCCCTCTGGAGCGTTCAGACCTTGACCCACCCACCATCATCATCGCAGTGGGCTTCACCGGCAGCTCCACAGGAATGGGTGCCATTCTCCCATTTTACACATGAGGAGCCTGAGGCTTGGGGAAGCCCACAGCTAGAGGGGATCAGCCAGAACTCTAATTCAGGTCTCCTGTCTCAGTTGGTCCCCCCCCCCAGGTGGAGAAAGGAGGTGGCTTCTGTCGGAGGACACTGAGCATCTCTGTCTCTCCCCCTCCCCCCCAGAGACGTGTGCGGTAAACAATGGAGGCTGTGACCGGACCTGCAGGGACACGGCCACTGGCGTGAGGTGCAGCTGCCCCGTGGGATTCACGCTGCAGCCCGACGGGAAGACGTGCAAAGGTCAGCTCAGAGCCACTCAGGCAGGGGTGGGGGCTGCATGCTCGCGCTGCACGTGTGACCATGGCTGCCTGTGATGGCAGCGGGGAGTCCGGGGTCAGCCGTACTTCTGCTGGAGAGGCCGACAAGAGGGAGGGTCCATGCCAGGGCACTACCCAGGTTTCAAGTTAGGGTCCTGCTGTCCAAGGAAAGGGCTGCCCGCTGTGCTAGACTAGCGGTGTCTTCACTGCAGGAACTCCTGGGCCCACAGTGATTCATTGTGGCCCTGGGTGGGGGGTGGGGCAGAGGTGGGTGTCGGCCATCTCTTCATCCTCAACCTCGTGGTAGAATCCGGCAGAGCTGGGGCAACAGCACGACCCCAGGAAGTTTGGGAAGGACCCGTCTCCTTGTACCGGGATGGGATTGTCTTCTTGCCACCGATAGAAAAATGCGGACCCTGTGTGTCCATGTCACTGGAGGAGTGACACGGTGGGGGCTGTCAACTGGGAACTGGGGAGGCAGAAGGACCTCCGTTTGCAATTAGAAATGAGGCTCTGGGAAGATGAGGGGAAGCCTATGGGAACGGGCCAGTCTCCCAGCCTCTGGAAGAGAGCAGGTAGACCTTCCTCTGTTCCTGCTGGTTCCCTGGCTCACCCCCACAGAGTTCCTGAGTGCCTCCGGGGGCACTTGGGGGGTTAGGGCTCCTTCAGGAAACAAGAAGCAAGGGGAGCAGAGAAGCGAGAGCTGTCAGGACTCTGGAGACTGAAGGGCCACCCCGCAGCCCCGGCAGAGGAGCCCTGAGCAGCCCCGGCCATTGGGCAGGGAGTAGAGGGGACTGCCAGTGCCCCTGCAAGGGAGGGAGGGGCAGCCCCTTGTGCCAGGCTGGCCCTGCAAGTCCCCCCCCCCCGCCTCCCGCAGCCATGGGCCCCTCCCTCCCACCTTGCCAGGGATCCGGCCAGGCTGGAGGGGAGCGAGCGGAAGGGCAGAGGGGCTTGAACTCCCTGAGTCCGGTGGGTGAAGATGTGGACAGCGGAGGCTTCCATAGGTTTTAAATAGTCTAAGGGGGGCTATTTGCAAGCCTGTAAAAATAGATAGCATGTGACTTCCCCTTCCTAGCTGCTCTGCTGGGAAGAAACTAGGGGTTATTGACAGAAATAACAGTCCTCCCACCTGTTTATTTGAAAATAAAGCCCTTCTGTAGTCCCTGCTCGGCCCACTTGGAGCTGAGCCGCAACACGTGGACTCAATGCCAGGGGGACAGGCCAGGGCTCCCTGCGGGCCCAGGCGTCCCCACAGTTGGCAGCGACACAACAGGCCTGGCCCCGTGCCCTCAGCGCTGGGGCAGAAGAGGGTAAAGTCGGACCACGCTGCCTCCCTCTCGGGCACGGGACTGCAGGGGCGGGCACAGCTCAGTCCCTGACCTGAGGCCAGGCTGGCACCAGAAGCCCAGCTCTCCGTGCCACAGCCATGCCCCAGCAGAGCACCTGTGGGGGGCTGTGCTGCCCCCGCCCGGGCTTTGGGAGGCTGGGGGGCACCTGTCCCCGCCCCACCTCCACCTCATGTCTGGGGGACGGGTGGTGCCGAGGGGAGCTCCCCACAGCTGGAGGTCCACCCTGATGAGCCCCCCACCCTGCTTCCCGCAGCTCCTCCTGAACCACTCCAGCCCTTTAACAAGGGCTGCCCCTGCTCAGCCCTTTGCCCTCAGCCAGACCCCCTCCCCCCTCTGCCCTGCAGGCAGGTCTCATTCACTGCTGCACCAGATGGGGTTTCCGGGCTCCCCCCGTGTGCAGGGGCTGGGGAGACAGGTGAATGAACCAGAGCTTCCCTGTCCCTGGAGATCCTCTATTGGATGCAGAAGACAGTTTCTCAGTTTTTAAAATCACGAGCTATACACGTGTCACTGACTGCTTGGTGCTGGATGGAGACGTAGAGCCTGGCAGCAGGCAAGGACCGGAGCCCGCCCTGCCCCGGGGCTGGGAGGCCGTGGGGAGCGGCATTCATCCTGGTGGCCTTTCCAGCGGCACCGTGGCCCGGGGTGCAAGGACCCAAAGGGGTCCAGGATGCCCAGGTATGTGAGACGTGGGGGAGGCCAGGCCAGATGGTACAGGGGCTGTGTGCTGGGGGTCTGGGCCCTTCATTCTTCCAAACCTTGGCAAGCCCCCCAGACACTCCCGGGCAGGGAAAGCACCAGCTCGAGTTTCCATTTTGAGCCAGTCCCTGACCACGGCTTGGACGGGGTTCTCTGGGCAGGGTCTGGAAGAGCAGGGAGGTGGCCGCTGTCTTCACCCAGGCTGGAGATGACATGGCTTGACCCAGGTGCTGGCCGCAGTAGTAGAGATGAGATACTGTCCTTGATATCCGGATATCTGGATATTGTCCTTGGAGGTAGAATTTAAGGATTATGGGACTAGTCAAAAACTGCATCATGTCCTCAAATCAGAGAACACTGGAAAATGAAGGCTGACCTCCAGGCTTGGCGTCTCAGAGCCTCGCGCACACAGCCCGAGCTCCCTGGGGCCAACCAGAGAGACGCAGGTCAGAGCGCGGGCACTTGGCAGGACCAGCCCAGCTGGGAATTCCCGGCCCCAAGGCTTCGGCTCCGCAGTGGGCGTACAGCCCTGGTCCTGGCAAGGGCCCAGAAGGGACATCAAAGGAGTGATTTCAAAGGTTCAGCGTATTCTGGAAGCCACAAGCCACTATGAAGCAAGACCAATGGCTGGAGGGTGAAGGTAACAAAGGTCCTGGAAAATCCAGAGTTGAAGGCCCGGGGTCCACAGGGGTCCCACGGCAGGTGGAGACACACATGGGAAAGTGGGGGTAATTCTGCCTGAAACACAGGAGCCGTGGCGTAGTCGGGGGTGTGTCCTAAGCTCTGTTTTGAGAGTGTGGATAGTGCAGGGGTCCAGCCTCAAGGCCCCCTGCTAGTTGCTGCACCTGCTTGACATTGGGAAGGGGGCACCTTGCTGATCGGCCCTTCTGAGAGGGGGGAGGTCTGGGGCCTTGACTCCCAGAGCTGGAACCTGGATTTCTTCAGAGACAGTGGCCCCTCCTCCCAACACCTTCCAGAAGGGTCTGGGAGAACTCCCATCCACCATCTGTTTCCTCTTCTCCCTCACCTGCCCTCTGCCCAGCAGCACGCCCTCCCCACAAGGCTGCTCTAGGGCAACGCCAGCCCATGCCCGCCCAGAAGCGCTCCACATGGCCCCTGGGGTGCCGTGCTGTGCCCCCACAGTGGGATGGGCAGAAGGGAGCAGGAACCATTGTCCTTCTGTGTGTTCCTATAGCTCCCACCCCCCTTCCCTCCCCTGACCCTACTTTCAGCCACTCCGACTCCTTCATTCTTTATCCCCTCAGTGAACGCTGTGGGCAGTCACACGGTGCAGGCCGCATACTGGGTACGGGGGCCCCAGACAGGAGCCAGCTCCCCCATCTGTGTCCATGACAAGGGGACAGCCAACTCTGGAGGGGATGTCAGGGAAGGCTTCCCAGGGAGGCAGCTGTTTCCAGGGACAGGCCATGTGGGGGCCGCCCTGGGTAAGGCCGCCAGAGTCTGGGCTGCGGAGGCAGAAGCCAAGCACACAGAAAGGGGAAGGCAGGACACCTAGGCCCAGGATGCCCAGGGAAGGGCCTGCAGAAAGGGGCTGGCCCTTCATCCTGGGATGCCTGGGGGCCACGGGAGACTTGTAAACGGGTAGGGGTCTGCCGGCTGTCTTATGGGATCAGGACCAGTGTGAGCACAGTGAGGAAAGAGAGGAGCCTTAGAAGGGCAGGAAGGGGAGAGAGGGGCAGAGGCCACACCCCAGGCTCCCATCAGAATGAAGGTCCAGGGGCTGTGGACTGTACCCTGGCTAGAGCTGAGGGGTGCTTCTCCCACTGCTACCCCCAGGCTGCCGCCACACCAGCCTGCCCTCAAGCAAGCACGCGTCCCCTGGCCTGTCTGGTTGTCGTGACAGCCCCTCGGCTGACGGGCCCAGATGGGGATGAGGACAGGATCGGGGGTTCCAGAAGGCCTGAGGCATTCCTGAGGAGGCAGACCCCCTCTGCACATTTAGTCTGTGAGAGGCACCTGCTCCCAGCCCAGTTCACAGATGGGGAACGTGAGGCTCAGAGAGGCACGTTTCCCTGCCCAGGATCACACAGCTGGCTGGGACAGAGCTGAGACAGGTCTCCGTTCTCCTGCTAGAGGCTTTTCGCTAGAAATTTCCCCGTCTTCCTATAATTCCCAAGGAGAGAGGATGACAGAGATGCCCAAGCCTCCACCCAGGACAGGCCCTCAACTGAACTTAATGTCCACTCTCTGGAGGCTGTGGGGCTGGCATGGTGCTCTAGAGAGCCTGTCTTTGGAGACAGCTGGAGCTGGGCCCCAATTTGGTTGCTACGTGTAGCTGTGATCCCCTCTGTAGAATGGGGGATCTGGTCCCCCAGGTGTTTTGAAGATCATACAAGACTTCGACAGAAAGTGCTTGGCCTGGGCACCAGCATGAGCTAGTGCCCAGTAGGTACAATGAGCACCACAAGGTCTGACTGCCTGCTGTGGGGTCTGGGCTCACCCTTAGGCATTTTTGTTCCTGGAACACACATGTATGCAGAATTCCCGGACTTGAGAAATTATTGTTTTTCGTGATCACCTTGGTGAGCACATATAGAGCACCTACTGTATTCAGTGGGGTGAAGTCACCCAGGCAGCGGCACAGCCAGGATTCAGGGTCAGATCTGATAACCCACAGGCCTCCCTTATTGGGGACTATCTGGGGTTCCCTTCTTTTGCCACCTTCTTGGTGCCAAAGTCTCCAGAACATGCAAACAGAGTGGGTCTTTGGGGTAGAAGTGCCTGTGGTGGGGAGGAGGACAGCCAAGGGCAAGGAGATGCAGCAGCATGCCCACTGGGTGCCCTGGCACCCCGCAGTGCCTGGTCCTGCAGGGGCTCCCCAGGAAAGCCACTCTGGTTGCTGTGGTCCTGGGCTAGGCCACATCCCCTCCCAGAGGCTCTGAGGACTGCCCACGGGGTGCCTCAGCCTTGCTCAGGACCACAGCTGGGGTTGGTTTTGCTGTTGGGGAGCATTCTCTGGGCACACCGCTTTAGGACTGTCCTGCAGATGTCGGGTCTAGCTTGTTTGGTTTGCAGAAAAAGAAGTGAGGCGCCATCCGCCATCTGGAGTTGCCGGGGTGGGACAGAGTCCCTTCCGTGGGGCTCAGCACAAAGGGGGCAGGTAGGCCTTGCTCGTACGGCGGTGCCAGTTGCACAGAACAGAGCGCCCAGGTCCTCACACTCAGGGCAGGAGCGGGGGGGTAGGGGTTCAAGTCAGCAGCTCTGCTGAGACACGGCCAATGACCACCTCGGAGGAGTCGTTTCTGGTTTCCTTCGCTTCCTCCCCGCGCCTCCAAGTCAGGGTGAGAACGCCATTCCGTAAGCTCTGCTACTACGTGCTGGGTCGTGTCAGCATGGGGAGCCTTGGGGTCGGGGCCCAGGAGGAACGGTGGAGTCTGAAGAAGCACCTCAGGGACAGGTCTCTGAAGACACAGTCTGCCAGGCTGGCCTGGAGCCCAGAGAGCAAAGCCCAGAGAAGCAGGCCGAGGCAGGGCAGGAAGGAACTCACGAGTGAGTCAGGGGGACGTTTGTGATGCATCCGCAGCAGGCCATGCTGTGAGGGAGAAAGCCCCCCATCACTAGAGATATGCAAGCAGAGGCCTCCTGGCCAGGCTGCTTGGGAGGGGCCATTTATTGCATGGGGCTAGGCCTGGCAACCTCCCAGGGTCCAGCCACAGCCTGTTAGAAACTGCTCAGACCAACAAGCGGCATTAGAGGGGGACACCAGCCAGCCTGGGAACACCGGTCACCTTCCCAAGCCTCCGTCTCCCATCACAAAACGGGCGGTAATCCCAGATTGTGGACTGAGAGCTCACTCAGCACAAGCACCCCCGGACCACTAGTTCCTCGGCTCCTCATGGTATTCTTCCAAGGCGGGGGAGCCAAGGCTCCGGGGCCCAGTAGCTCACCCCAGGTCACAGCCATGGGGAAGCAGCCGGCCTGCTCCAGGCTGTACCGCCTCCCCGAGTGTCGTCCTGATCCCATCCCTGTCGTCTTGTCCCGCACAGCAGCCATCACTTCCCTCCCCTCTTTGCCACCAGTGCTGCCCAGGCTCACAAAATCGCAGGTGGCAGTGTAACTCAGCCTCCCGCCCTGCCCCCCGCTTCTGGGAGTCAGGCCCCTGGGCCACTCCGATGGGGATGCGGGGACTGGAGGAGGCCGGGGCGCCAGCGGGCGCAGGGAGTCTCAGAGGCAGGGGCCCCGCCACCTGGCAGCCCAGCCCACTCGCCTCGCCCTGCCCGCTGGGTGCCCCGCAGACATCAACGAGTGCCTGGCCAACAACGGGGGCTGTGACCACTTCTGCCGCAACACTGTGGGCAGCTTCGAGTGCGGCTGTCGGAAGGGCTACAAGCTGCTGACCGACGAGCGGACGTGCCAAGGTGAGCCCCACCCTGTGTGCCCCCAGCGGCCTTGCCCGCCCTTCCCGGGCCTGCGCGGGCACCTGTGGGGGTGGGGGGGCAAGGGCCGGGGTGAGCCAGCCCCCACTGGCCTTTCCACCTTCTCCTCAAGTCACCCAGTCCAACTTGCCCCTTTTATGGATGCGAAACTAAGGCCTGGAGGCGCATCAGCGTGTGTATGTGTATGTGTGTGTGCGCGCGCGCGCATGCATGTGCAGGGAGGGCGGCAGGGGGCAGTGCCACAGTGAGCCGGTGGCAGAGCTCGTCAGCTCCAGCACCCTGTCCTTCCTGGTGGCACCCCCCACCCCCAGAGGCTCAGGAGGTGGGCTGCCGCCACCTGTTGGACAGCATGGCACACTGCAGGCGCTCTCCCGCAGTCCTTAGGGTTCCTGGGCGCCTTAGAGGCAGGGTGTGAGGTCTGGGCCGAAGCCAGGAGTCATCCAGGATGCAGTGAGAGCCCAGAGGATGGGCAGTGGGAAGAGAGGTCAGGGAAGGCTTCCTGGGGGAGGAGACACTGGTGAATAGGCATTTTCCCAGAGGGGTGGCAGACCGCACATGGCCGAGTCGTCATATCTGTGCCGCTCAGGACTGGCCCTCAGGGACAAGGGATGTGCTCTCCCAAGGACACCGAGGAAGGCAAGAGCAGAAGACCGGTGAGGGGGTTCTGGGGCCAGCCTGTCCTGGACGCTTCCTGTGACCCAAGCCTCCTCCCTGACTTGGCCTCTTCCTCCCTTGTGGGTCTCTTGGCTCTGTCCTCCCCTTAGTACGTGGGGCCGTTGGGAGCACGTCACATCTCCAGACTCCTCTGCACTTTGACTTAGTTTCTCCAACTGCCTCGCCAAGTTCTGTGGATGGCTAAGGGAGGGCCCTTGACTTTATACCCCTAGCTGCCCCGTGGGACCAGAGGGCCACCGCTGAGGAGGGGGCCATGACGTTTTTGCTTCTGGGCTCCAGCCAGTCTTCTCCACTCCCTGGAGGCCCCGTGCTGCCCCCTCCCGGCCTTTGCTCAGAGTGCCCTCCCCCTATTTCCATTCCTTACTTCCAAGCTAGTCTTACCGTCAAAGTCTAGTCCAGGTGCCACCAGTACCAGGAGATCCTCCCAGATTCCCCTGCTGGGAGGGATCACATCCTCCTTTGAGCACCCCAGTGTGATTCCTTCCTTGTGCTAGAATTATTACAAACACACGTATATCATCAACGTGTATAGTCCCGTAAGCTAATATATTCAAAGAATGACCTCCAACAACGGTGCCCATGGAAAGGTGGGTCAGTGGCTGTTTTGCCCTTGGGAGCCCCCATCAGCTGTCCCATGAGAGCCATTTTCCTCAGAATTTATGGCCAGGACAGACTTGTCTTCTATGAGCATGCTGTTCATTTCCTCCTTTCCAGTAACAGCACTCTGTGACCCTTTTTCCTTTTTTACCCTAGCTGCCAGGAAGCTCAGAATCAAATTTCATATACCATCAAGGCTTTCTTGTTATCCCTCATGGGTAGCATATCACCGCCCCCATACATTTTCTTTGAGCTCTTTTCCTTGTTTTCTCAAGAGACCTCTTGGAGTGGCTAGAAAACACACTGTGGTCAGGCTCCCAAAGGCCTGGTTTTGTGTCCCAGTTCACTTGTCTCCTCAAGCAAGCCCCTCTCAGTTTCCTGCAGTTGTAGATTAAATACTCGTCCTGATCACAATAGAATGTGAGATATTAAAATGACAAAAATTCATCAGACCTTGTATCCAGAGTATTTCCAGCCTGCCCTCCTCCCGAAGAGATGGGAAATGGCTTCTAACCCAGAAACGTAAGGTTCTTGGAGACAGACTGGAAAACCGGGCCATGACCGGAAGGCCGACATTCACTTGGCTTGTGCCCTGAGCCTCAGGGCTCAGGGACTGTCTGTGTGCAGCTGTGTGTTGAGAGACTGCGTGAGTGACAGGCCTTGCCCACCCACCGCACCCTGAAACTCCTCCCTGCACTTTGTCTCCTTGTGGCCACACAGACATCGATGAGTGCTCCTTCGAGCGGACCTGCGACCACATCTGCATCAACTCCCCGGGCAGCTTCCAGTGCCTGTGTCACCGCGGCTACACGCTCTATGGGACGACCCACTGCGGAGGTCTGCAGCCCGCCCGCCAGGGCCACCTCCCCCCTGAGGCACGCGCCTGGCCGCATGGCCACCTCTGCTGCACCCACCCCACACCCTGAACCCGACCTTGACTCCAGAGGGCCTGGAAGAGACTTTAAAGCAAGGCCAGGTTCTGGTGGGCAGAGGGGCTCAGCTGAGAGCAAAGGTGGGAAGACGGGGGTGGGGAGTGGCAAATATCTGCTAGGTGGCAGGCCTCAGGCCAGGTTGTGGGCATAGGCCCCCAGAAATGGCAGCTGCAAGGGAACCTCAGTCCAGAACGGGGAATGGCCACTACACAGAATCCCACAGAGGATTTGTCACAGTGGGAAAGGGTGACGACAGAGAAAGTCTGCAAATGGAGACGGGGGACGGGGAGGGGGTTGGAGTTCCTAAAGGAGGATCTTCTAGATCAAGATGAGGGAAAGGATGCCAGAAGGATCAGCATATGCAAAGGCACTGAGGTAGCACAGAGGGACCCAGAAGCAGCAGGGAGAGCCCCGGGAGGGAGGGAGAATGTGGTGCGCAGTGCAGACGGAGGAAGCAGGGCTGTGTGAGGCCTGCAGGTGACTTGGGTTTTCTTCCTAATACGAAGGAGGGCTTAAGTAGAGGTGTGACGTGGGCATGTTCAGGTCATGAGATCACTCTAGCTGCCACATGTTTAGGAGAGTGGGACCCAGGGCACCAGTCGAGAGACCACTCAGGCATGGGAGTCAGAGCCCCTGAGCTCGGGCAGGGTGGGAAGTGTGCAGAGAAGGGGAAGTTTCTAGAAGTGTTTAGCTACAGATGATGGGACTTGGAGGTGTGTGGGCCTGGCAGGTGAAAAGTGGGGGAGCCAAGAGTGGCCCCGAGGTGCTAGGGTGTTATTTCCTGTGACCACACTCCCTCTGCTGGGCAGCCGTGGAGGTCAGATAGGGTGAGACATGAAGTGATCGAGCACAGCTGGTGTTCGGGGGAAGGGCTCCTGGAGTGGGTTACAGATTCTTCTGGAAGGACCCCAAAACCTGGGCACTGGCTCCACTGGGCCTGCCGCTCCCAAACTGCAGGTCAGATAGGGTGAGACATGAAGTGATCGAGCACAGCTGGTGTTCGGGGGAAGGGCTCCTGGAGTGGGTTACAGATTCTTCTGGAAGGACCCCAAAACCTGGGCACTGGCTCCACTGGGCCTGCCGCTCCCAAACTGCAGG